CCCCCGCGAGCCGCCCTCAGCGCCCTCTGGATACCCTGGATACTCTGGATACAGTGAAAGTGTGGAATCAAGTGTAGCAGCATGCGCTGAACGGCCCATGCTGCGCTAGCGCCGCGCCGCGCCTTGCTGCGCCCTTCTCGTCCTAGCAGTGTGGATACCAACCTTCTACTGTGGAGCCCGGCCGGAGAATGAGGAAGGGAGCACCCTGCCTTGTGCTGCAGTTCGTGCCCGTGCCGTCCTGGAACGGTAGGTTATAGCCCTTGAGGACTCCGTGGACGGGCCTCCTGGACGGGCCCTCCAAGCTTTTCAGAACGAAGGGACGAACCGCTCCGAATCCTCAGAATGAACCTGCAGGTCCTGGACAGGCTCAGGACGCCGATTGTAAACACTCCGCCCGGTACTCCTGTACTCCTCGTGAGTCATCGCGCGTCCGCCGCAGGACACGACGCGGCACACTGCGATCCGAGTTTCTCCACGTCCTGGCCGTCGCCCTGTCTCTCTCGCACTCGCGGCGCGTCCCGTGCGTCCCGTGCAGGCGCGAGAGAGACAGGGCGAGGAGACGCGGCGCGGAATGAGTCCGCCGGACACTCTGCCTCTTGACTTGCTTGGCCGCTAACTCGATGTCCTGCTTCCGCGTCGCCGCGTCGTCGTCGCGTCGTCGTCGGGCCCAACCCGAGGGAACTGGATCGCAATCCGATTGGAAGGGCTGCGACCTGTCCTGGCGGGGCGGGGCGGGGCGGGGCGGGGGGGGGCGGGCCCTGGAGGGCTGCTGCTGCTGCTTTCACATCGGCACGGCCGTCCAGGCCGTCCTCCTCCAGCACGCACGCCTATGCACGGCGGCGGCCTCACCTGTGGAGCCAGGTGCGTTCCAGTGGCGTGTGTGTGTGCGGCACTCACACACTGTGCCGTGGCTGAACCAGCCCTGGGCGTGGTCTCGAGAATTTCTTAGCTTGGCTCGGCCGCAACAGCCTCCAGGCAGAGTTCGCGTGAAGGGGTTCAAGTTTGTCACATGCTTGAGCAGCTCGGACGGTTGCTGCGGCGCGCCGCGCCCTGGGCTCTTCTCCAGCGTCGGTCCAGCGGGAAGGGAAAGGGAGGGGCTGCAGGGTGAATGGTCCTGGAGCGGACGCTGCAGCTGGCCGTGCTCACCTACCGACTGACACCGAGAGCCGTTTTCGTCGTTCTGTCTCTCCCCCACCTGTACGCAACGCCCCATGAGTGCGAGAGAGACAGCGCGATGAAAGCGACTCTCGGAATCAGTCTGCTGGAGGGAATATTTGGGTCGGACTGTACCTGTCGTGGAGCCGAGCAAGCCGAGCAAGCGGAGCGTGGAGTCTCTGTCTCTGTCTGGCACTCTGGCAAGGCCTGCAAGGCCGTCCGAGGCTGCCTGCTCGGTCTGTCTGTCTGTCTGAGTTGAGTGCGCTCGTGTCTGTTCGCCCGGGCTGCTGCGGCATGGCGTGGCGCGGCGGCCCGGGCCTTGTGGTGCAGGCACGCTACGCTGTGCTACGCCGCGCCACGCCGCCGTGCTGGAGACTGGAGACTCCAGCGGTGTGGCTGGCGAGCGGCTGGACTGGAGCCGAGCCTTCGCTGGGCCGAGCCATGAGTAAGCGGCCAGCTATTCTCTGCTGGACCCTCTCTCAGGCAGGCCATTCACGGCACGTCATGGGACCCAGCTGCCCATCAAAGGGAGGAAAAGCCGGAAAAACGCGACGCCGGTGCCGGGGATCGAACCCGGCTTCTTTCGAGCACGTCCTGGGTGGGGTGGGGTGCTGCTGGTTCCAGGAGGCCAGGAGGCCGTTTGCAGGCAACCTGGTGGCGACTTCTCCAGAATGCAAACCAAACGACTCCACGGGGGTGAAGGGCAATTTATGGGCCTCCAAGACGTTGGGAAAGAGGAGAAAACGTGGTGGGTGCATGGCGTGCATGGCGCTCGAGGGTGCAGGCAGCATGCAGGCAGGCCGGGCCCCTAGGCCGGGCCGCGCGGCCGCATGCCGAAGCCGTGACTTGCTGCCCAGCCCGCCGTGCCGCCCGGGCCGTGAGGCGCACAGCGCAGCGTGTGGCGCGGGGTGCGGGCCGGGGTGCATCGCGCAGTGCATCGCGCAGTGCATCGCACAGCCATGTGTGCCTGCCCCCTCCATCTCTCTCTCTCTCTCTCTCTCTCTCCTCTCTCTGGAGCCAACTCTGCGTGTTTTGGGCGAGAATACAACGTGCGCCGAGGCGTGTGTTTTGGTTTCGCAACCAGCCTTCGGCCCATGCGTCTCCCCTCTCTGTCGCACCGGCGAAAGGGCGCTGCTCTTCGCATAATGGCGACGGCACGGTTTTAATTCTGCGCATGGAGAGAGAGAGACAGAGGGAGGTGTCGCCCGTCATTGTTCTGCGCTATTCTCGTGAGCCGGCCTTTCGCTCCCGGCCGGCAGGTGCCTTTCTCGGAATGGGGTGGTTCCAGGAAGGGGAGCCCGCCAGCCCACTGGAAGGCCCAGCCCGGCCGACCAGAGTCGCTACAAACAGGACTCGAACCGAGCGCGTGACCCCACCGATGGATTGCTCTCCGAACGAGGAACCCATTGGTGGGGTCACGCGTTCGGTTCGAGGCCTGTTTCGCGACTCTGGAGCTCCAAACGCGCCTAGACTTTTGGCCGCCTCCGCCGTTGTGTCCACTGTGGGACGGCCTGCCTGCCGACGGACACCCGGGGGTGACTCACGGGCCAGGATCGCGGGGGCGCGGGCCTCGGCGCGGGCGGAGGGCGGACACGCGAGTGGAGTGGAGCTGGCCGTCGACAAGCGTCGCGGCATTCCTCGTAGTTTCGTTTTGTCGCTGTCTCTCTCGCTTTTGCGGGCCGTATAGGGGTTCGAGTGGGACAGCGACGAAACGACCCTCCGGATTCAGTCGGCTGCAGACTGCTGGCCGTCCGCGCCGTGGTCGCCGAGATCGGAGATGAGATGTCGTTATGGGGCACGCTCTCCCGGATCCAGCAATCCGGCAGGGGGTGTCGCCAGAGCGATAGCAGCGCTTCCTGTGGCGGGTGCCTGCAGTGCAGGGCCCGCTGCAGCCTGCAGCCCAGGGCCTGGTGCTGCTGCTGGCCAGGAAGTGCGTCCCCAAGCCCCCTCCAGGCAGCCTGCTGCAGCTGCGCGTGGCTGATGCTGTTGTTGATGGCGGCCGGGATCTTCTTCGGTGACGTAAATTCGCACATCCGCTGCGACGCCATCGCCCTGCCTGGGCGCTGCGCCCCACCGCCCCCGTAATCGGCTTGGCTGGCCATGTGTTGGCTCCTGCCTGCCCTGACGGATGTGTTGCAGCCACCCCCCCTCCGTTTTGCCCTCCAGGGATGATTCACTGTTGGAGAACGCAGGGGCGCTTGCCGCCTTGCCCTCACCTTCCAGGCCTTCCAGCAAAAAGGCAGCCCATCAGGGAAATGGATTTAAACGCTCATTACGTCGAGCCGAAGGGCCAAGGGCCGGCGTCGGGATTCGAACCCGAGTCCCGGGCGCATTCCGCCGTGGCGTGACGGAGACATCCTGCGGCCGACGGGGACGGAAGCTACACAAAGCTACACGAGCTACGTCAGCTACGTAGGCACGGACTTCGGCTTTCCAGCCTTTCCAGCTGCCTCGCTGAGTCATCCCTTTGTGACCTTCCCCTCCCCCTCCCCCTCACCTTGCCGGCCGGCAGGTGTCACGGATTTACGCGCCGACGGTCGCCACACTAGTTTATCTACCTCCCTCCCCTCCTAGATTACGCCTCGGATTCCTCGTCCGGGCGACAATGAGGCCTCTGTGCGCGCGCGCTTGTGTGTGTGTGTGTGTGAGAGAGAGAGATTCACATTCATGCGAGTCGGGACGCGGCTATCTCGCCTTGGAGAAATATGAATGACCGGCGATGTGTGGCTCCCCGTCTGGCGTGCTTTATTCGTGGCACTTTTATCAGCGTGGCGGGGCGTGGCGGGCGGGGCGGGGCGGGGCCGGTCAGAGGTTGCGGGGGCACAGTGGGACCAAGGTCAGGCCTATCACGAGCGCCTTGTGGGCTTCCTGCCGGGCCTAAGCGCGCCGCTTACTGCTTTCCGAGAATTTGCCGTCCCTTTCCGCTGATACTGTCAGTGTGTGAGTGTGTGCGCGGGTGGCCGGGTGCGAGCGAGCTGATTGTGCCTGTGTGGGCGTGCAGGCGCACTGGGCGCGCGTCCGTCTTTAGCAGCGTAGCAGCGCCGAACCGAATGGGCGCGGGGTCACTCACCCCGCCGTGCCGTGCCGTGCCGTGCCGTGCCGTAGAGCCCTGTCGCTGCTGCTTCAAAATAAAAGCCCCGACGCAGCTGCTTGCCATTTCGCGACTTCGGCGTGGTCTGGTTGGTCTGGTCATCGGCCTAGCGAGCAGCCCCGTTCCCATTGTAGTCGAAAGATGTCGGGGCGCACTGCTGGCCAGGCTGATTCCTAACAGTCGCTCCGTCTCTCTCGCACCCCCGCGGAACGGCCCACGAGTGCGAGGGAGACGGAGCGGACGAGCCTGCCGGCCCTGGCGGCCCCGGTCTCCAGGCCGGCGCCGGTGACTCAGTGACACGCGGTGGTGTCAATGTTCGGGGCGGCGTGGCGGCCACCGCCACCAGAGCCGCCAGAGCCACGCCCCCTCCAACGACACCGTCACCGCGGCACCGTCCTCTCCAACGGACGCCGGCGCCTTCGGGTCGCGGAGAATCGGTTTTTCCGTTACGCCGCGCTCGTCTCGTTACAAGAGGGCCACCTCCCCCTCCCCCTCCCCTCGGACCCTTCCGGCGCGGTCGCCACCTCGGCATGAATGAGCCGAGCCGCTTCCTCGCAGTGTGTGCACCGCACCTTTCGCCGGCCGCCGGGGCCACCGGAACTGCAAGCTCGGCTGCCGGAATCAGTGGCCGGAACAGACTATCACTCACACACACACACACACGCATCCGGCGCGTCTTCTGCGAGGTGATGCAACGCGTCATGGTGGAGTCGGTGTCGTGACGCCTTGCTGACGGCCTTCCCCTTTGTTGCAGGCGGCCACCGGGAGTTCCACCGGCGCCACCGGGAGCTGTGCGAAGACGCGCTGCTGACGGGGGCGGACGCGCGGCCCGAGAGCCCCCCGCTGGACATCGACTCGGCGCCGCCGTCGCGGCTGCTGCCCCACCTGTTCCTGGGCAACGCGCAGGACGCGTCGCTGCGGTCGCTGCGCCTGCTCGGCGTGGACTGGGTGCTGAGCGTCACGTCGGCGCCGCCCGGCGTCTCGGACGAGTCGTACCTCGCGGCCGGCGTGCGCCACCGCACCCTGCTCGCCCGGGACTGCTCGCAGCAGAGCCTGCGCGCCCACTTCCAGGACGCCTACACCTTCATCGGTGAGTAGTCTCACTTTCTCTCAGTCGTAAGCGGGCGCAAGCGGGCCGAGTTGGGGAGAAGTTAGGTCGCTCGGGGCTTGGACGTCCCGGCCCGTCGCGGCCGCTCGAAAGCCAAGCCCTGCGGCCCTTCGGCCTGCCGGGGAGGGCGGTGCCCGGCGGTGCCTCGACGTGGTGTTGAATTTCCCGCCGCAAATCCGCGCACTGCACTGTAGTGGCGTCGTGTTGACTTGCCGCTTGTCCAGCGGGGCGCTAATAGGTTTACGTCGCCGAGGCGCCGGGGACGCCGGGCACTGCGTGAGGCGGGCGGGGCGGCGGTGTCGGTTACGCCGTCTAATCCGGTTTAGGACGTCGTCCAGGAGGGTTCCCCGGTCCTGGGGCCGCCGCCGTGGAGGGCGAGGCGCGCGAGGCGCTCGGCTCCTGGCCTAGCCCGAGGAGTTGGCAAAGCACCTCAGTGCGCGGCGCTGAAGAGGAGACCCAGTGTCGTAACGGCTTGCGCAAAGTCTGCAGCCTCCAGGCCCTCCAGGCCCTCGAGGCTGGACGCCGTCGCTGTCTCTCTCGCACCCGGCCCTCGAGTGCGAAGTGCGAGAGAGACAGCGCGCTGCGGAATGAGTCTGCAGGCTGGAGCGCTGGAGGCTCAGACAGGGAAGCGGCGGCGTTGTGTGTCAAAGCGACTCTTTGCGTATGAGTCATCGCGGAGGGGTGGCGGCCGGCGGCGTCCTTGTTGACGCAACGCGGGGCAACGCGGGCAATGCCACCCCACTCGGCCGCCGCGCCGCGCCACGCCGTCGAACATCAACACAATGGACAGTATGAGTCATTACTGGCTCCCTGAAAGGATCATTCCCGCGACTGTGAATATGGGTGGACCGTTTCTCCAGATTGCAGTGGCGTGCCACCCTTGGCTGTCGGGCTGCCGCTGTGCCGCTGTCGTCGTACGGCCTCCGCGTCTCGGCCTCCCTCCGGAGGGAAAGATGACCCCCCGGCTTCCCTCCCTTGCGCGACAGCGCGGCAGCGTCGTTGACCCAGATTGGCTCATCCACATCGGTCGCTAGTCGGAAGAGGAAGCTGGCGGCGCCTTCTTGGCCTCCTGCGGGAAGGAAACCCCTTTTTTCCGGCCTCGTTTTTTGCGTCTCATTACGACTTCCCTTTCGGGCCCGAGGGCCTGTGGGAGGAGCTGGCTTGTGTAGTGACTGGGAACCCCAGTCCAGTAACATGGCATTGGACACCCTTCGGTTCGGCTTGACGCCGCTCTACTGCGGGACAGGAGACAGGCGACGGCGCCTAGGGTGATTCCCCGTCCCCGTGGCGATGACTCACAGCCAGAGCCTTGTCCCTGGCCCTGCCGGCCCTGCCCAGTTCCCATTGGTTCCCATCGCCTAGCCGCGGCGCGGAGTCATTCCGCGGTCTGTCTCTCTCGCTCCTCCACGGGGCGCCCCATGAGTGCGAGAGAGAGGGCCGCGGCCCGCCGGCGGCGTGTTGTACCTGTACAGGTGTCCGCGCACAGGCCACGCGGGCCTGCTCGCGGACTCGCGGGCCAGGTGTGCGACTGCGACGTGGCGGCGGGCGGCTCCAGTGATGACGTCATCGGCACCCTCTGGCTGGCGCAGGGTGGACGCGACGCGGACCTCGTTGAGGCTGAGATATTAAATTGCGTCTCTTGAAAGCGCCGCCGCCACCGCAGAGGGGACCCTCCATTCTTTAGCCTTGCCATTGAATCACTCACTCCTTCATTCATGCATTCATTCATCATTGATTCGTCCATTCGCGCGTCGCGGCCGTTGGATGTGACGCGGCCGGCGCGGCGGTCGGCGCGGGTTCACGTCCCCGCCGGCGTCGCCGTTGCGTGACGAATTCCGTGACGCGCGCCCTTGCCCCGCCCCGCCCCGCCCCGCCCCGCGTGACTCATGGAACGTACCCTTGACACGGTCGCGGGGGTGGAGGGAGGGGGCGTGGGCGTGCGGGCGATAGTGTGGGTGTAATTGGCCGGTAATGGGGCAATAGCTGTCGCCGCGGGTAATCCGCCGTCGCGTCCAGTCTCGATTCCCTGATTCGATTGCCGCGACACATCGTTACGAGACGGGACCAGCGGACCAGCAGCCCAGCGCGCTGCAGCGCCGCGCCGACGAGGGCCAGAGACTCCATTGGGCTGCGGGCTCCATTGGGGTGAATGGGCGGATGTGGGACATGCCGCTGGAGGGGTCCGTGTCGGGGAGTCGACGGGGAGGTGCAGGTCGTGGCCGTCAACGCGGCTCCGACGGGGAGGTGCAGACCGCGGCCGCCAGCGCGTCGCGTCAGCACACTGGTGCTGCATTGGACTTGGAATTATAACGGGCTGCCTCGCGGTTTGGCGTTTCGCCGGAATGCGCCGCTCTGTGTGGCGTGGCGGCGTGCCTGCACTGTGTTTGGTGTGCGCCGCCGCACCGCCGTGGCTGCGGTCGCCCCGCCAATGTCAGTTCGAATTGTGCGGTGCGATCCGCTCGCCCGGTGCACTGTAACGTACTAGTACACTGTGCGTGCCTCCCGGTGTGACTCACTCCCGTTATGCCGGGGTCGCCTCTAGGGTCGCCCTGCCCTGACCAAGGTCCTGCCAGTGTCCTGCCCGACCTGCACAGCCGGCCAGCCTAATTTATCGGCGTTCGCGACGAGAGGAGGCGAGACGAGACGGACGGCGTGCTTTGACAGCCGCCGCGACCCCCACGCCCTCCACGCCCTTTACGGATTTCTCACCCCATCGCGGGCAGCGCACTTGCTTTTTATTTTCGAGCCATCGCGCGCAGATGACGCGCGCGCGGGTGATTTGCTGCCGCCTGACTCCGCGCCGTGCTTTCGTCGCTCCATCCTTCGGCATCGGGTGGCAGGGCAGGCCGACGGCAGGCCGACGCGCAGGCCGACGCCAGGCCGTGCAGGGGTGAATTTATTTGGCCGTCTCGCCAATTTGGCCGTCATGGAAACACTTGCAGTGGGCGTGGCGGGGCGCCGCCACCCGATCACTACGCCAGTTTTATTATGAAGCGTCGAGGACGTCACGGCGTGCTGTCGGCACCGTACGGCGCGGGGGAGGCTGGCGATGGCAATCGTCGCCTGCAACGCCTTATCGCCCCATTCCAACTGACCCGCTTTTTCCCGCGCGAATTTAATTTTCTAGTGCGGCGAGGGAAGTTGAGGCCGCCGCCGCCGTCGCGCCTCGCGGCCTAGCGCTACCTCGTGGGCTGGCGTCCGAAAGCGCTAGTGGCTCTCGCCGCGGTGGCGAAGCTGGCGAAGCTGGGCCCAAGCGACGCGAGGCCCGTTGGCCCCGTTGGCCTGGTCCCTGGTCTAGCCTTGGTCTAGCTGCCCTGGACGCAGCCCTTCGGCCATTGTACGCGCCGGGCCGTGACGAGCCGCGCCGCCTGCACGCCCTTCCTGGATGCACCGGTCGCTTAGCTTCCCTCCCCCTCTCTCTCTCTCTCTCTCACACACTCGCCGCTCGGCCGAGGTGAACGAGTGCGAGGCGGCGCTGTCCTCTCGGACGCAGCCGCCTGCCGCGCTGCGTCGCGTCTAGCCGCTGCCGCCGCGACGTACCGCGTCGCAGCCGGGCGCTGCTGCGGCGGCGGCGGCGGCGTTGGAGTGGTGTGGGGAGAGGTGAGTCATCGTCTGTCGTATCGCATCTCGCCGCGCCGCGTCGGCCGCGTCCCCCCCTCCCCTCCCGCCGCCTACCTTGCCGCGCTGCGCTGCGCCGCGCTCCTGACGCTGCCCGCTTCGCTCGCTGCCTTCCCTTCGCCTGCCTTTGGCATGGCCGTGCTCTGGCCGTGCTTGTGCTCGAACGAGACGGCGGCCGCGGGTGTTTTTAAGACGTGAGATTGGCGCCGTAAGGGCCCGTAAGGGTCCGTAAGGGCACGTCGAAAAGCCCTTCCCTGGGCCCCGCTGGGCTGTCCAAGAGCGTCCAGGGCGCGCACCCCGTTCTTGGCCAGCGCGTGCCGCGTGGCGCCTGATGTCCGTGAGTCATGCTTGTTGCGTCTCCGTCTTGCGTCCCGGGCCGGCCCGGGCTGGGCGGGATGGCGTCTGTCTCGTCGCGGAAATCTTCTCACTCTCAACAAGTTGCGCGTGGCGCGCTGCCGTGTTGGTTGGGCTGCCTACCTCCCAGGCGCCCACGGCGATGGGGTGTTGGTTGGGCTGCCTACCTCCCCGGCGCTCGCGCCACTTGTGGTGCCGATCGGGCTGCTCCCTTCGGCCTCTGGGCGCTTGCGATTCTCGCTCGACCTCACTGTCGCTCTCTTTCTCTCTTCGTCCGCGTCTAACGTGCTCTCGTTCTCTATGTTGCAGAGGAGGCCCGCTCGTCCGGCGGCGTGGTGCTACTGCACTGCCAGGCCGGCGTGTCGCGGTCCGCGGCCGTGGCCATCGCCTACCTGATGCGGTCGCGGGGGCTGTCCATGGCGGAGGCCTACCAGCAAGTCAAGGCGGCCCGTCCAATCATCTCGCCGAATCTCAACTTCATGGGGCAGCTGCTGGAACTGGAGCAGAGCCTGGCGCGCAGCCCCACCTCGAGCAGCTCGAGCTCCGGGCCGCTGTCCCCGCTGTCGCCTCTGCCCTGCAGCCTGGACAGCTTGGACAGCAGCAGCCCCGGCTCCAGCCCCGCGGGCAGTCCGACGTACAGCCCGGTCGCCAGCCCGGACCCCAGCTGCCACCAAAGCCCCCTGCTCGGCCTCGCCCCAGTCTCGCGCCAGCCGCGCCCCCAGCGAGCCGTCGTCCTCCTCCCAGGGCGGGGACGCCCCCTCACTTGCCCCCGCCGCCCCCGCTGCGGCGTCGACATGACCCAAGCCTCCGAGCCGCGACCCTGCCGCCATGGCCGCCTGCGCCTCGTCGGGCACCTCGGCGTCGTGGGTCGCGGCGGCGGCGCCTGACTGTGATACTGGCCCGCGGACCCTGCTGCCCCGCACGCACCGCACCTCGGCGCGAACCCCCCTCAGCATCAACCTGCCCGTCAGCCTGCCCGGCCTGCCCGGCCTGCCCTCCGCGCTGCGGGTCTGCCGATACGGCCTCGGCTTCGGCATTGGCCTCGGCAGACTCCTTCGGCGCGGCCTCGTTGGCGTGCTCCGCGCGCTGGTCCTCACCTTGCCGGCCCTGGCGGTGCCAAGGCTGCTGTGCCGGGGCGGCCGGGGCGGCCGGGGCAGGGCTGCGGCTGTGGCGGGTCTCCTCCGCGGTGGGGACGAACTGGTATGAGGGCAGTGTGTTCACGGGACCTTATTCTTACTATTTATTGTAATTTGTAATTGTCTTAATTGTCCTCGCCTTCCCATCATCAGTTGGTGCCATTTTGTATCATTTGTTTGTCTTTGTAAAACTGATGGAGGTGTAAGTGAAACGTATTGTATTTTGAAGCTGAAATGACCTTTGTGTTTGTAGGAAGAAAATGGCATGTAATTGCAGTTGTAAATTTGATTTTGGAATCAAAAAAGGAGTACGATGCATGCAAAAATGTTACCAACATTATGAAAGTGGCAACTCTTGATGGCTGCCTGTATGTGTTGTTTTTTAGCGTTTTTTTTTTTTTTTTTTTTTTTGCCATTGCCATTGTGCCCGGTCTTCCATCGGAGTTCTGTCATGTGCCATTTGTTCCTATCACATTACGTATGCAATTTTAGTTTTCGTATTCACTATAGTTATGAATTTTCAACATCAATATGTGTCTGCTTGTTTCCAAATGGTGTCTTTCTTAACTATGTGAATTTATTGGGAGATTTAAATCTCCTGTAGAATCATGGGTTCTCATTGATTACGTATCTCTAAAGGAATGCGTGAATAGTTTGGTTTCATTTGGCACAATAAAAGAAACAGAAACACAAAGAAGCAAGAACCCGAACACTGTAGTCATTCATTATAAGACATGTCTCACTGGAAGGTCCTAGTTACGTGAGGAAAATGAATCTAGTCGTCAAAGTTGGGAATATGGCTGTGTATTGGTCAGGGTGGGCATCCCCTTGGTACATATCAATCCACCCTAACTTTGTCTTTCACACATTGTCCCTAGTTGTGGTTTCTCTCTGCCCCATTATCTCCTTTGTTGCAATATCAGTAGTGTAGATCAAAACTCACCTGTGAAATTGACATTGCACATTCCTGTTGAGGGAAATTAAAATTTTGAACTTACTGATGATGTACTTATAGATAGTATTTATTTGATTTGGTTGATAAATGTAGTGTAGGGCAAATTGTGTTCTAACATTTTAATCCTAGCGAAGTGTGACCTGTGTGTAACCCATCCTGACTGTATCCCTTGATGCAAGACATTTGCGATAGCCTGCCAGTCAGTAACTTTTCGCAACAGCAAAGTTGCCAACTCTTCTTACAATTTTGTTCCCTCTGTTTCTGGAGGGAAATCCAGTAGACTTCACAGCTGGAAAAATGGTTGCATTGTATTGCCTGCTACACAAAACTAAAAGTTTGAATATATGATTGTGGGAAAGTTCCACTAACTCTTCCCAGTGACATTCTTTGATGAACCGTTGTGTAGTCCCACTTTAGGACAAAACTTGAAAAGTCTGAATATTCTCTATATAAGTATTTTAACTGGGCATCGAGTTGTTTTACAAACCATTGCCCTTGTTCTGGCTGTATGTGCACGAGTGTTAATTTGGTTGGAATATCGTGCCTTCAGGATCAAAAGGGTTAAATTGTATAAAAGTGTGTACAGTAGATTGAAAGTGGGGCTTGTGATATGCCGAGTGTTAAGAACATAACACACCCTACTAATGTGTTAATCATGAAAAATATATCTATTTAGTATGAGATTTGAAATTTTCTTCAGTTATTCAGTCTCTCCCCCCCTCTCTGTGCGCTTGAACAATGAAACTGTGCAAAAGGAAACAAGGAGAAATATTACAAACCACAATGTTACTTTAAATAACCAATTTTATTACAAATATTTTTTCATGCTTAAAAAGAAAATTGACCATTTTCTGCTTGCATACTATAACATGACATATGCATTAACTAAATAAAAAATGAAATTTTCCAAAAAACTTACAAAATCAGACATGGTATATAATTTGTAAAAATCAAGTGCTGCTGTAAAAAGTCAATACTGAACATTCCTTTGGAAACCTTTAAGTAACAATCATTGATAAAATAATATGAACAATGTTGTGCTTTCATAAGAGAGCACAATGGCAGTACTGGAAAACGAGTACACAGCGTCCTCATGTTCTATAAATTTATGACAAATGATCCTTATAATGTGTTGACATCGGAAATTGCAGGTAGCACAATTAAGACAGATTAGATTGGTACTAGCTCTTAAATTAAGACATTCCATCACAGAATATTGCCCATGTGACATCATACACAGAAAAAGGAAGTCAAGCCTGGTCATTTTATAAGATAATGAATATGAAAATCACACCGAAGATAAAATGAATAATGTCCATGATGCATCTGCTTCAAGGGGAACAAATGATTTTGATTTGAAGGACATATTACTGTCTTATGTAAGCCGTGATGGAAAATGATTGAAATCATGTGCATCATACAGAAGAAATGTTATTGCCGAAAATTAGTTTTATACACAAGGGAGCTACCATATTGAGCAATAGTCATCAGCATTACATGACCTTTTGGTTTGTTGCATTCATCACAAGGTGGTGACAATACAAATGCGGAAGACCCACAACTAATAATTTGAAATTCATAAAAAAATTCTACTACGGAATCTGAGGAATCACCCATACACAATACACAAGTGATAAACACAAACAAGATAACTATTCAAGTAATTTTCTGTCACATTCAACACAAACCTTGCAAACATGACACTTTCAATTAAAATACTAGATAGAAAAAAAGGAACATTTTGCGCCGCAGCTAATATGACACTTGCCTTATTTAAAAATATACTGTAGCTCCTGATAAAACAATGAAAACATAAGAAGAAGGAGGATGAAATGAAGAGGAAATTACAATGAAGTTGCTCAACAGAATCACAAACAAAAAAAATTGCTGCAATTCGTTCTTTGACAGAGAAAAAGTACAGGGAAGCTTGCTAAAAAGCTGAAGAAAGACAGACTTCAATAAATAAGTTACACTAAAAAGTGTTCGAGCTGAACGGAGTGGGCTAGTAGAGAAGGAAATGGACGGTAGAAGTAAGCCGCAGTCCTAAATAAGCAAACTAAAACGATTCAGTATTGATTCAATTTTCACAACTGGTGTGAGTCTGTCCCAAACATTCAACCAATACAAATAAAGCATCTGAAATGTAAAAGTACATTTGTGCCAACGTTTCATTGATTATCTCATCCTAACAGTACATTACAGCAAATTCAAGCTATTGGTGCCACAATGTACACCATATACAATACTTCATATTGTCCAGAGCAATTTGTGCTGTATGGCGACCTTCAATCAAACAAAGTCATTAAAAATCTTTTTTTAAAATTTCCTTCTCTGCTATTTTTTTTTTCTTTTGACCGTTCTGCAAACAAGTATCTACACAATTTGAACCAATAAATACTAATTTGTCACAGGTTTTGGACAGTAGTAACAACAAGGAAACAGAATAAAAGCCAATCAGTTGAATAAAACCATATCTCTCACAACAAAAATTTTGACAAAATATAAAATAAATAAAAGATGCTCTCCAGTCGGCAGCTGCAAACAGACTCAAAAGCAAATGTGTGAACATAGAGATACAATTTTAATTCACGCAAAACATGAAGTGTTTTGCTAGAATATGTTTAGTGTAGACTCCGTGTTCTAGCATTAACTGAAGAGTCTTATGCTCATGTCAAAGCTTTTCTTGACATGTTGTCATTTTGGTTCTGGCCATGTAGTTCTAAGCCACCTTGCTGAACTACAAATTATTGTAAGACCAGAATGTTACAAGTTTGCTCTTCAATAAGTTAACAAGTACATGAACTTCACAATTTCAGGCAAAAAATTCACGATTTGTATTTTTTGAGTATGAGTTGACTGTTGGTGATCTCTTGGGTTCATCCAAAGCGTACGACCCTTCATCTTTTTTCCGCATTCGATAGACGATGAACATGACGACCAGAATGGCACAAAGGAGCCCAACGACTGCACCTCCAATCACAGCTGAAATCACGCAAGATGAAAAAAAATTTAGAGCGACACACTACATTTACAGAAATAAGTTATGGGATGGATAAAGTTAACGGGGAAACTTGTTTAGCAGCAAAACGCTAAAAAAGTTGCAAGCAAAACTTGGGGAAACTCACCAGCCAGAATGCCCGGCTGGGCAAAGAATGAGGCAGCCCTTTCTTCTGGTTTGTTGCTCATGATGTAAACTCCTTCATTTCCCATTCGCTCGTCTTCGCTGCCGGAGCCGAGGGTGTTGTCGTCAATGTCTGTGACGGGAGGCTGCGACTTGGGGCCGCTGCCTGAGCTGCCGCTGCCTGAGCTGCTGCCGCCGCCCAGCGTTATGTCCTGGTTCGAATTTGAATTGCTCAAATCCTTCTCAGGGAACACAGGTGATTGCTCATTATTCGCCTGGAATCAGATACAACAGCGGTCCGTCAAAGACATGTCTTGTCAACTTCTTCACACGATGCAAATAAATTAATCATCATGGCTCAGATGTATTCACATAGTGATGTGAATAAAATCATGCCGCCATAGGGAATGGAAGCCAAAAAAAAGAGAGGTACGCTTAAAGTTTCGACTGAAACTTCATAATAATAATTTCTTTTACATAGTAAATTTACATGAGAAACCTTGACACATATATTTACCTGAGTTCTCGTGACGACCGTTTCTTCCAACCGGTTTCTATCTGAAGTACTTGTAACGTCTGGACTCGGTTTCTGAGGGCCTTCTGAAATGAAACAATGAAAAATAATTTTAGCATTCAATGGATGGGATCCAAAACCTCAGGCGTCTGTTTTCTAAACGGATTAGACTTACTTCTGGCGTAATCCTCGTCGTCGTCGTCGTCCGAGGGGCCGCTCCCGGAGCCGCTGGCCTCTAGGTCCCCCTTGAACTCCCCCCGCGGGCCGTCGCCGTCGCCGTCACCCGACCCGTCAGCCGCGTCGTCCAAATACAGGTCGTCCTTGGACTTGGGGCTCTCCCATGGTTTACTAGTGCTCCGGACCTGCGCACACAAACAGACAGTTAGTACAAAACGTCGAGCACCAAGTTGCAAGTTCCGCGGGTTCAAAAGTGTGCGGCGAAAGGCAAGAGTCGCTCGCCAGTGCCCACCCCCCGCCCCCCGCCCCCGCCCGCCCCCGCCCCACCTGGCCAGCACCTTTGGCGTTCAATGACGCAGGGGTGGGGCTTGGCGGCTGGGCGCGGACTGCAGCTTACGGTGTACACACAGAGTCTATGGTGCACAGCAGGGCGTAGCGGCGCAGCGCAGCGACCCGCGCTGTGTCCACAGAGTGTTCTGCCAGGTAGGGTCAAGTGGGATGGGGATGGGGCGGGCGCTCTTGCAGTGGAGGGCCTGCCAGTCGCCAGACTAAGGCCCGCCGGCCCGCCGCAAACCTGACGCTGCAGTCAGGCCGCACCGGGACGCACGGCACCGATCGATAGGGTGAGGTGAGTCTATTTCACTAACCCGAATTATCACTTGCCCGAATTGGCCATGGGGGCCATGGAGGCCATGGGGTCACGGGAACGGTGGCGGTCTGCCATCAGAAAGTGGTCCGACAAGTCTCACAGTCTCACACAGCGTAACATGACTACTTCAGCAACCGAGCATGCGTTGCAGCGCACGGGGTGACGAGGTTGACGAAGGCGGACAAAGGACTGTGGAACTGCAGGGCTGCAGGCTTGGCGGGGTGCGGAGTCTGCAGTCGCCCAAGTCATCCCGAACCCGCAGGCTGATGCCGATGGCCGTTTTCGTCGCTCTGCCTCTCTCGCTCGCACCGGTAGGGGACGCGCCACGAGTGCGAGAGAGACAGCGACGAAAACGACTCTCGGTCTGCAGGGACTGCAGCGCGGCACGACAAAGCCTGCAATCACATCAAGCGGCGGGGCGAGGGGCGCGCGGGAGGACAGCCCTAGACCAGTGCAACGCCACGCCGCGGCGCTACGGGGTCGCTGGCTCCACGCCCCCTCGAGCCAGACTGGAACCAGGACCGGGGGGGAAAAGGGGGGGGGCAAGGGGGAGGGGCACGCGTGCACTGGCAGGCCGCAGCCTCACGACACAGTGCACTCGCATGCACCGAGATGCAGCCACGCCGTGCCGTGCCACGGCGGGCCCGGGCCAGCCAGGCAGGCAGGCAGGCAGGCAGGCAAGGCCCGCACCAAAACAAAGGAACCCCCCCGGAGGCTAGGTGGGCGGCGCACGGCGAGACGGTTAGGCGCTGGACAGCCCCGGACAACCCGAGGACGGCGCCACGGCACACGTCCCCGCTACACTGCGCAGCACTGCGCGATAGGCATACCTACTGCGCACTCTGGTGGCTGTCTGGCGGTGGCGCGTCGTCGGGGACCTGGTCGGGGACCTGGTCGGGAACCTGGCGGGGCTGGCGGGTCGGCGCTCTGCCGCGCGTCCTGGAGGCACCCTGGCGGTACACTGGCGCCACACTCACCGATGCTCCTGCCGCGCGGGACGCTGGGGTACTGCCCTGCCCCGCCCCTGGACCGCCGCAGCCCGCACGGCCCGCACAGCGCGCACAGCGCCGCCACGCAGCCCGGCGTGGGGGCGGAGCGGGGGGCGGCGCGGGGGCGGCGGGGGCACAATCAATACACCGTGTCCCGCCGGCCCCCGCGCCGCGCCGCCCCCCGCCCACGCGGCCGTCCCCGGAGTAGTGACTGAGGCAGTCAGTGGTCGTCCCGGCGTGCCGCCCCGCCCGGCCTTCGTCGCCATCATGACCACCCTAATTGACGACATAACGTCAGCCGGCCGCCGCCCCGCCCCGGCCCGCTGGCTGGCCGCTGCAACCACTTCATTTGCATCCCGCCACGCCCCCTCCCCCCTCCCGCTTCCGCCCCTGGCCCGGCTCGCCGTGCCTCGCCGTGCCTCGCCCTGGCGGCACTTTTCATTTTCTTCCATTTCCTCTCCCGAAACGGGTTGGCGCGGCACGCGCGGCACGTCGTCGTCGGCCGAGGTCGGCGGCCGCGCGCCGGGCATCTCGACGGCTTGCTGGCCGTCCTTGGCGCGCCACGCCCCCGCAGTCCGCGGCCACATTCACGTCTGCCGCCACTTTCCTCCGAGCCGCACATAAAGGATATCGCGCGCGGCCAGCACTCCGAGCAGGCGGCCGTCTCTCTCTCTCTCCCTCGCACCCACGGGGCGTCCCGTAGGGGTGCGAGGGAGACAGGGCGACCGAGCGCGCTGTTCGGAATCAGCCCGCAGCAGTGGAGGCACCCAGCGGAGCAGAGCGGGGCGAGCCCGGGAAAAATGTATCACACGCCAGAAAAAGAGGAAAAATGGCCCAAAGGAGGACGAGGACGCGACAACCAAAAAAAAAGGAAAAAGAAAGAAAAGAGGAAATAGATGATGGTGATGATATGGACGGGGAGGAAACCGGATGGGTCACATGGGAGGAGGAGGTGGTGGTGGTGGACTGCGGAGAGAAAGAAGCAGAAGAGGGGGGGGGGGCTGGAAGGGAAGGGAGGGGGAAGTCCAGTGCGATCCCCCACGCGAGGGTTCCTCGACCCGCAGGGCCGCAGGTCACGGGACAACTTGGAGGGAAAAAGGCAGGCAGGCAGCCAGGCAGCCAGCCCTGCCCTACGCGAGGGGGCGGTGGGGGCGGTGTGCCGTGCGCTGCCTCCAGGCAGCCTCCAGGCAGCCTGCCTGGCTGGAGTCTCCAGCAGCGGGTGGCGGGGGGTGGCGGCGCGTAGCGTGGCGACGGATTTGGTTCGAGAAGTGCCGCCGAGCTGGACGTGAAGGGGGCCCTGGCGGCCCCGGCGGCCCAGGCTGGGGAGTGGGGGCCTGGGCCCTGGGGCCCTGTCGATGTCCCTATCAGATCTGTCCCTTCCGTGCGGCGTGCGGCCCGCCCGGCCCGGGCCGCTCCATTCGCGCAGCCTCTCCGGGACGGTTTTGTTGCCACGTGCAGAATGCAAGAGAAACGGCTTCTCGAAAGCGATACTAGGGAATGGCGACGACCGAGGCTGCTCGCAAGCACGCCCAGCCTGCTGCAGATAAAATAGCCGCCGTCAAGGAATATTCCGCCCTTCCCTCTCTCTCTCTTTCCGAAAGTCACTCGGCGGCCGGAAGTGGCCGGATTCTGAATAAAACAGTGTCGGCGCGCGCCGCGGATTCCGCATTCAGCAATTCGGCGTCCGAGGCGCGAGGCGAGGCGGTCCGGTCGCGTCCGGTCCGACTCCAAGGCGCCGGGCGAGCGTTATGCGCACTGCCCGCCCCGCCCCGCCCCGCCCGAGCTGGCGGCACGGAGGCGCGGCCGGGCTAGGCCAGGCTGAGGGCCGAGGGCCGAGCGCAGCGCCAGGCCGCGAGGCGGTGAGGCAGAGCAGAGCAGAGCGAGCAGAGCGCCCGACCATCGCGGGATAGGCCAGCCGCCGCACAGCCCGGGCCGCCGGGCCGGCCTACCTCGCCCCTGCGAGCCAAGCCAACGGCTGCGACCGCCAGGGGGGCAGGGGGCTCGATCGGCTGGGACTCTACGCTCCACTGTCAGAAAGGGGAGTGTGAACACCCATAGAGCGCACCCCGCTCTAACAGTGTACGAGAGTCGGAGTGATCGTGGGCAGGAGAAGCTACAGTCCAATGGGCGCGAAACGTAAATAAATTTCCAACGTAATCTCTTATTTGACAAGGCTTTCATCAATAGTTTCCCCCACACTTGCTTGCTTCAAGTGGCACCGCACGAGACTGGCCGCGATAAAAATTAAATAAATCGCCCTCCGCAGCCCTTTTTCTTTCGTTTCATTTCCAAGCTCATCCTTCGGAATGCTGTCGTCTTGGCTCGGGACACGGTGGTGCGCATCACCAGCCCAGCCCGCAGCCCGGCCTGAAAGTAGGCCAAAGCAGTGGCGGAGAGCGGCCTGGCGGGGCGTGGCGTGGCGTCGACCGCGCGGCTCGGTGCCGCTCCAGCACCCGTAGGCCGTGCGCGCGGAGTCTCTGCAGGGATCCATACTCCATCCCTCTGCCCTGCCGGGGCGGCTTGGCAACACGCCGCGTCCACGGCGCCCCGCCGGCCTCCAGGGGGTAGCGCCGGCGCCATCGGGCCGCCGCCCCCGCCCGCTTGCCGGCGTGGCCGCTAGGTGGCGCCCCGGTGCCGTGGCGGTCGCGGCGGCCGGCGTCGCGAGCGTCCCGGCGTCGCCACGGACGCGGTCGGCCGGCGTGCGCCGCGCTGGTGGCCATGCTGGTGGCGCCCCCTGACGGTGGAGGCGCCGGCAACCTGTTCGCGCGCGCCGCGGCGCCGAGTTCAAACGACGAGGGCGAGGGGCCGCGAGGGCCCGCGAGGGGCGGAACCCGAAAGGACCACTTCCCGCTGCAATCTCTGCAAGTAGATTGCAACTGCTGCCAGGAACGCGGGCAAGAGGGAAGTTGATTAGACTCGACGCTCCTGGCAGCGTGCCCCGCCGCGCCCGCCGCGCCCCGCGCGCGCCCCCGCGTAGGGCGAGCGAGAGCGGGGAAGTTGGATGAGAAAGCGAACAAGAGACAGGATGAGAAACGAAGGTCCGGTCCTTCGCCCCGCCGCTCCCTTGGAAAGGTTATTGAACGGGGCCTTCATCGCCCAGGGCCTTCGCCTACGCGCAACGACCCCCGCGCCGCGCCACGCCACGCCACGCCTGGAACTTGGCCGGAAACTCAAAACTACTGTTCCTCCGTCGTCGCGTTTAGCGGCAAATGTTAGTCGCATGCAGCGAAACAAACAGGACGCGACTCGGAAGAGCCGGAAAGAGGGGGTGGGGGGATGGGAGGGACCCGGGGAGAAGCAGTGGGACAGAAGACGCAGAAGAAGGCAAAGCTAATGGGCGTGGCTCCACACACACACACTGCAAGAAACACAGCTACGCCCGTTTCATTAGCACCCTTGCATTATTCACGGCGCAGAAAGGGAGACGAGTCCGCCGCACAGCCACTTACGATTCGCCGACACACGCGCGCGCCGCGTCGCGTCTCGAGGCGTTTTAATTAACCATTTTAATTTTTCACCGCGGCTGGCGGCGGCGGCGGGCTCGTTCCAACTTGGGCGTAGCGTTGCCGGCGAGCCGCGCCGGATGGATGGCGACACGGGGCCATACGTCATAAATGTAGAAGTGGAGGGCGAAAACGGAGGCAGCGTCGCCAGCATGGACGCGCGGCACGCCAGCGACACGCCAGCGACACGCCGACACGCCCCGCGACAGCCAGCAAAGATGGATTGCCCCGGACGCAGCAGGTGGCGAGGCCGGCGAGGCAGCGGGCAGGGCGGGGACGCCTCCACGGGGACGGGGGGCGGGGGATGTCACCATGGAGACCGAAGGGATGAAATGACCACGGCGGTGAAAGAAATGAAAGGGATGAAAGTCACCATGCGGATGAAAAATCGCCAAGAGGATCACCATGGGGATGAATGAAGAGAGATAAGAAAACTAGGACAACTTGGCTAGCGCATGTGCACGAACAAGCGGGCCACAAACCTCTACCTGCACTCCGTGCATGTCACCCGACACCGAGTTCCTCCTCAGCCTCACCTGCAACAGAAAGAGAGCCACAAATTAGTCGAATCATGGCGCAGGGCGTTGAGAGGCGCGCACACACGTGCTGGGCCGTGCTGGGCCGTGGAGGGAGGGGGTGGCTGGGCCCGGGAAACAGATGACCGGGCGGGCAGGCGGGCGAGTCGAGAGGCCGCGCCCCGTCGGCCCCGCGTCGGCCCGTTGGCAGCTCACCGAGGCAACGTGAGTTGAAAGTTTTTTATTACTTGCCGCCCGAGCGGCCCTCGCTTCGCCCTCCCCCGGGCCGCCACTCGGCGCGCTCGCCGGGCCGCGCAGGCATCCCCTGCCAACCACACTCGAATTATCAGCGCCCCGAATCGGGCCTTAAATTGCTGCCATTTCACGGGGCATTTTACGGCCAAGTAAATGCAAAGTGGTGGTTGGTTATTAATTCAACTCCCCGGCCGGCGTTCCGCACCGACACACCGCCACACCGCGAAAAGGCGGCAAACGGAGCGCCGCTCAAATCTGCCACCGACAGGTATTGTGACGCCATGTCGCGCGCGACAACATGTTGACTGACGGACGGCCCGCGAGAAACGGGCTCGAAGCAGCGTCGCGAGGGCGGAGGGAGGGAGGGACGCCGACGGCTCTCGCCGGCGAGTCAGCCTGGGAGGTAGGCCTGGTGCGCGCGCGGGTGCGGGCGGGCTGCCTACCGCGCAGGCTGACTTGCAGGTCTGGCGCACAGTCCAGGCACGCCCCCTCGAGTGCCGTGGCACGCCGTGGCACGCCGTCAGCTCACTGAAGTGCACCTCGGCGCCGAGCCGGGCGGCCGTCCCGGCCCCGGACACGTCGCCGAGGCCGTGCTGCCGAACTGCCGCCGAATTAGGCGCCGGGGTTCCGACGCGCAACCCCCGCGTCGCGAGGAGCAGCGAGGGGCGGAACGGGGTCGTGAGGGGCGAGAATGAGTGTGTGTGCGAGTGTTGCCAATTGCAACGCCGCGGTGCGAGGTACGGCGAGGTACACGAGGGAAAAGGGCGTAGATAGGGCCCGGCTCACCGTGGGGCCGCGGGGCGGCGCAGGGCCGCCACACTGGGGATACACGCGGCACAAGGCAGAAGGGCCTCAGCGAAACGAGCTGCGCTGACTTCAATCTGCATAATGAAGCGGCAAAGATTGCATCAAATCGCGCCGCCTAGCCTCGCCTAGCCTCGCCTGGCCTAGCCTGGCCTAGCCTCACGACGGGGAGGCGCTACGCCGCCAGCAGACGGACTAGAGCGCGGCCTGCGCCACCAGGGGCCCGCGGTGCGGCGGTAGAGGGTTATGACTCGCGGGGGCGATGAGTGCCACTGGGGGAGGGGGGGGGGAGGGCCCTGAGGAAGGTAATGAATGGAAGGACGAGGCTCAGACGCCGGAAAGCGGGAGCGAGAGACAGAAGGGGGAGAGAGAGGGAGCTGTGTGTGATTCGCGTCGTTTCAAACCTGAAGGAGCGTGCCGCAGCGACAAAGGCGTTTCATCTGGCGTGACGTCATTCTCTGGGAAAGCCGTGCCGGCCGGGCCCGAGTCTCTGCAGCCCTGCAGCACCACCGATATTGATGCCCGACCAATTTCGCGATAACGGACGAAAACTAATATTGGCTCCGCAAAGTCCTCTCCTTCCCCACTCCTTCCATCGCTCGTCGCCGTCCCCGCAACGACAGCTGTAGCGACAGCGCGCGGCGCGCCCAGGGCGTGGGAATCAAAAGAAAACAGGGAGAGGAGACAGAGACAGCCCTGCAGTGTTTGGCGACTGCTAAGAAAGGGAGCCGAGAGACAATGACGGAGACAGAGAGAGAAAGAGAGAGAGAGAGAGAGAGAGAGAGAGGGACGAGGAATGCTAAGGAAAGGGGGATGACAAACGGGTGCGCGTTACAGTACATCATGGCGGCGGCCGCGCCACGGGCCGCGCCATCCCGATCGTCATCAAGATCTTCATCGTGATCGATTCGCGGCAATGTTTCAGCACCCCTTCCCCCCTTCCGGAATCAGAAGCCGCCATCACTCGCAGCCTCGTAGCGAGGAGGCAGTGCCGTGCCGCCGTCGCCAAATCACCAAGCGCCGCGGTTTCTTTCCACTTTGCTTCTTTCATCCCCGCCGCAGAACCACTGCCCAAAAACAAAAGACGCACGCGCGACAAAACAAAAAACAACAATAATAAAAACGAAAAGGGAAAAAGCGAGGGCCGGCGGCATTTGCGTTGCACGCCTCACGTCCCACCCCTTTCAAGAGCCACTCCCGGTTCTGGACGTGTAGCCAAGTTTGCCCGGCCACATTCTCTGTTGCCGCCACTGCCGCCGCCTGTACCGCCGCTCCGCTCCGCTCCGCCCGGACACCCTTTTAAAACGGCCTCCTTCCTGGGGTTGTGTTTCGCGCCGCGCCACGCCGCCACGCCACAGTGCCGCGCGGCCCGGGCAGCCTGGGACTCCGAAACGCGCCGGCGCCGTCAGAACGGTGGGGCCGACTTTACACGCTGTTCCCGCACCTCCGGAAAAGGGGAGGGGGAGGGGGGAGGGGGTTGTTTGACGACTCGGTGCTTTCCTGCGGCTTTGGTCTCTGTGTCTGCGTGTCGCCGCGACACCTCCGCGCCGTCCTCCTGCACTCGCCCACTCTCTCTCACTCCCACCCACTCTTGCTCCCGCGGACACTCACTCACTGTCGCTTCTAACTCCCACACTCAATCACTTCTCTCTCACACACACACACGCTCGCCCACAGACACACTCAAGCTGCGTCCCACCTTTAATCACTCACACATGCTTACTCACCCTCACAATCTCTCGTACTCATTCACTTTCGCGCACGGACGGACGGACAGACAGGCAGGCAGACGGACAGACACAGCAAAGAAGCATTCATAACGACGACAGAGAGAGAGAGAGATAGAGAAAGAGACAGAGCGCCGACCGCACCCCCGTCCTGCTCGATCGCAGCCAGAGAGAGAGAGAGACCTACAACTCGGAATCAGCCTTCCAAACTCTGGCCCGAATGGCCCGAATGGCGCGAATGTCGGTGCTGGCGGCAAAAACGTCCGCAAGCAGTGCCATGCCGCCATGTTCGTGGCGGCGATGATAAAGGTCTGGACCGCGGTGCGGCTCCAGCGCCGCTCCAGCAGAGAGTCCAGCCAGGCTGCAGGGGACTTCAATACAACAAGCTGCCGACGCTGAGAAAATGGCCCATTGTCCAGGAGGCCCTGCATTGAGCCGTCACCGCCCCCGCCTCAGTAATGACGATCAGATTTTAGCCCCCGCCCCCGAAGGCCCCCGCCCCCCGCGCGACTCGCCGCCCCCCGAAGGCCCCCGCCGCCCCCCGGCGGCATGATGGATGGGGCCATCGAGTGCCACGGAGTGATCGGTCCCCGAAGCATTCGTCAATGCAATCATGGGGATCATCACCTGTCCCGATAAATAAGCAAAAAATAAGCAACAACAAAAAGAGAGACAACAACACGCAAAAACAAAAACAAGGGGCGGCGCGCGCGTACATGCATCATGCATTAGCGTCGGGCTGTAATTGGTCGGCAGCGAGCCGAGGCGCAATCCGCCACCCCTTCCGCGGAAACAAAAACAAAAAAAGCAGACGAAAGCAAAGAAAATGGAGGCGGTGCGCGGCGCGTCCACTGGCGCGGCATTAAACACAACTTAACTAGAGTCCCATTCCTCACGCGGCCGTTGCCCCGGCCCGGCCTGGCCTGGCTGCCCCTGCGGGACGGCACGGGACAATGTTGTGCTCCTAATGCCCCTCCTTTTGGCAAGGTTGGCGGCCCTGCCTGCGCAGGAGTGCTTCCCCCTCCCCCCTTCTCTCTCGCACTCACGGCGATGCCCAGAACGGGTGCGAGGGAGACAGGGCCCCCCTAATTCGAAAGTGAATGAAAGTGATGCAAAGCGCGACTAGCGAAGCGGCTCCTCAAAAATTAATCCGCGGGGTGCTGCCCCCCCCCCCCCCCCCCCCCCCGGGGCCAGGGCGCCGTCGGAGCCAAACTCGAGGCCATAAACCACGCGGGGGAGGATATCAACGCATTTCTCCGGATACGACCGCCATATTTCTGTTTGGCAGGCCCGACCCGGGCGGCCCGGCGACGAGGAGGACGCCGTCGAGGCCGCGGCCACGGTGGAGCCACGGTGGAGCCACGCGGCCGAGCAGCACACAGATTCCGAGAGTCGTTTCCGTTCGCTCTGTCTCCCTCGCACTCACGGGGCGTCCCGTATGGGTGCGAGAGAGACAGAGCGACGAAAGCGACTCTCGGAATCAGTCTGGGGACTAAACGGAGACAGGGCGCGGCGGCAGAGAGTTACGCGCCGAGTTGGCGACTCGGTTTCGGGCTTCGCGTCCTTCGCCGCCATCCGCCTCGAGTCCAGGAGACTGATTTCCGCGCGTCGCGTGTCGCCGCTCCGTCTCTGTCGCACCGACGGCGCGACGCGCGACGCGGCGACGCCCCGCCAGAGCGAGCGAGACGTAGCGAGGGGCAAAAAGAATTGTGGCGTCAGGGAGATAACGAGGACCGCGATCTGGCCGACGAGCCTCCAGGTTAATTAAGGGGGGGCAGCCCAAACAGCGAGGAGTGAAAGGAAAGAAGACAGAGGAAGAAAAGGAGGGGGGGGGAGAGAGAGAGAGAGAGAGAGCGAGAGAGAGAGAGAGAGAGAGAGAGAGAGAGAGAGAGAGAGAGAGAGAGAGAGAGAGAGAGAGGCGCCTGATTGGGCCGCTGGATGCCAAAATGAGACGAGCCAAAGAAGCTAAAACAGCGGCACGGCAAGATTAACAGCAACCTCGCCAAGCCGGGCAGCCAAAACCTTTCACGCCAGACTTGCGCCGCGACGGTCCGAAGAAAGGTGATCTCCCTCCCGCGAGGGGGCTGGCGGCGCTGCAAGTGCGGGTACTGGTACACTGGTACAGCCATTTGGCGAGCAGAGCCGGAGCCCCCGCGGCCCTCCAGGCATCTGCGTCCAAAAGATTAAAAAAGGAGAAGGGGAAAGAACGGGGCGCATCGCGATCGGAGAGGGGGG